GCAAATTCTTTTTTCTTTTAGTACTTGATTTTGATCATTGGTTTTAAAGTTTTTACACGTGGCTGGCGGCTACTTTCTGCGCTGAACGCTACGAAAGCGAGCATTTCTGTAAAAGGGGACAGATACCGCATGCGCTGATACGGTGAAGGAGCAGATCGGTACAGGACCGGAAGAGTTTGTCTATTGTTCTGGGCTTTCAAACTCGCACAGGAGTTCATCCTCAGAGATAACACTGGCAACTAAGATCGGGAACATTTATAGGGATCTGTAAACCAATCACCTGTCAGTGACGCACGCCTGGAGGTGACTCGGCATGGCTATGTACGCCGGCGCCAAATCGGTACATTGATTGATAAAGGTTTTTGCCCACCGTGGACCAGGCTTCAACAAATTATTTGTTGATCTTGTTTTCGGCGTTGGCGAAGTTGAATTGATGGCCTGTTTCGTGTGAGTACATCAACTTGCGATAATTCACCGGCTCGTGGTGCAGCCAATTTATATTCATGTATGCCTGACTGAGTTTCACGCCTACTGCAGGAAACCGCCTAGAACTCGACCGGGGACCCGATTAATAGACATATTGACTTGTTAGCTGAGTATCAGGCTCTGCGCGAACAACTCAATAGCGCTGCTGAAGCTAATTTACGGCTCTGTCCTGACGATGAATTGTACATTCTTTTATTTCTTGAGAATGAGTTTGCGTGAGAGTTTGAAACGTACGACAAGTCAACAACCGGTCCCAAAGAAAGTCCTCCTGCCGTCTATTTAATTATCCGGGCGTCGTATGGTTTCGACCATTTAACATAACTCTAGAGATGGATGCCGTAGCACCGAAAAAGACGAGGAAGACCAGAATGGTCATTTTTGAGTTCTCGGGAACCCTAGATGTTTGGTTATTGGTTGTAAACTGGCAGTATAATCATTTTATGTAAGCAACACATGTTTCACACCCACCCAGTACATCTATGAACTCAGAAAGCACTGCCTCATGTGTGGAATGCGTTCTTCATTTAAGCGAGTGCCAGCCTGGACTGAAAAC